CACAACATCAACACACATCACAATAACAACATGACAACATCAACACACATCACAATAACAACATGACAACATCAACACAACATAAAAACAACAACTACAACAACAGCAACTTCAACATCAAACAACATCAACACATCACAACAACAACATCAACACATTACAACAACAACATCAACACATCACAACAACAACATCACAACATAAACAACAACAAAACAACAACAGTGTGATGGTAGGTAGAGCTTTAAGAGGCCAGTAATACATATTATATGATGGGGAAATACTGTTATTCGTTCGTCAGGCGTTTCTTTCTTCCTTCCTTCCTTCCTTTCCTCTCCTCCTTTCCTTCTTCCTTCCTTTCTTTCTTGCCCTTCCCTTCCTTCCTTCCTTCCTTCCTTCCTTCCTTTCTTCTCCTTTCCTTCCTTCCTTCCTTCCTTCCTTCCTTAGTGCCTTCCTTCCTTCCTTCTTTCCTTCTTCCTCAGTTCCTCTCTGCTTTCCACTCGCTCACCCTTCCTTCCATCCTTCCTTAATTCCTTCCTTCCTTCCTTCCACTCATTTATCCGCCTTTCTGTCCGTTGGCTTATCCGTCCGTCCGTGCGTCCGTCCGTCCGTCCGTCCGTCCGTCCATCACTCGCCCGTGTTCACTCTCAAGTCTGGAAAAATATTCTCAACACACCTGGATGCGACGCGACGACAGGTAAAGGTTTGTGTGTCACCTGCAGTATTCAGGTGACACTTCACATCAAGGTCAAGGCCACAGGTTTGGTTCAAGGTGAAGGGTTCAAGGTGAAGGGGTCAAGGTGAAGGGGTGAAGGGGTCAAGGTGAAAGTACTACCATAAACCACCTTTCGTCTTCCAGGAGGTGGTAGGTCTTCCTGGTCGTCAGTAAAAAATTCCCTTCCATCATTTTATTAATACCCTTCCCTACATCCTTCCTTATCCTTAATCCCTCCCCCATCATTTCACCCCTTCCCTTCCTCCTCTCCCTACCCTCCCATCATCGTTCCCTCTCCCCATCACTCTCTTTTTTCCTCTTGTTTTCACCCATTTCCCTAGCCTCCCCTTCGTTTTAACTTCACCTCTTTCCTCACCCTTTCCCCCCATCCCTTCCTCTCACCCTTACCCTTCCACCCTTGCCCTTCCATCAAGCCCTTCTTACCTACCCTCCCTCTGGCTATAGTTATATCCCTAAATATAGCAGTTATTAACCTCCTTGCTATCAGCTTACTATAAGGGCGAGTGTGAGGGCGTGTGGTGTGGGAGGGTAGTGAGAGAGAGAGAGAGAGAGAGAGGCTAACCTATCACCTGGTGGTCGCCTCAGGTACCCCCTTTGATATCCTCCGCCTCCCCTCCTCCTCCTCCGTGACCTCTCAGATTGATATTTAAAAACCTTACTTTTCCTCTCCTGCCTCAGCTTACCTCTCTCTCTCTCTCTCTCTCTCTCTCTCTCTCTCTCTCTCAGCTCCTCTCCGCCATCCCCTCCGCCCACCACCACCTGCATACACATGTAAACGTATCACCTGCATACATACATGTACGTTCGTATTCATACACATGTGCATACACGGTGGGATGGTGACCTCACCCCCCACGAGTCTCTTGTCTCCCTCGAGCACCGCCTCACCCGTCATGTTTTTCTCAACCCTCCCACCTCTCTCTCTCTCTCTCTCTCTCTCTCTCTCTCTCTCTCTCTCCTTCGCTCTCTCTCTCTCCTTCACTCTTCACTTCTCTTCTCTTCTCTTCTCTTCTCCTCTCGTCTCTTCTCCTTCCTTTTGATATACCGGGACATAATCATCGTTATTAAGCGTCTCAGGGGACCACCACTCCATCAAAGAGAAACCTCTCCTCTCTCTCTCTCTCTCTCTCTCTCTCTCTCTCTCTCCATGATACCACAATGTAAAAAGTTGCTAGTTATAACAGAGAGTGTAGAGAGAGAGAAGAAAGAAGAAGAGAAGAAGGAAAGTAATTAGCATGATAAGGTTAATTAAATACACTGCTGGTAAGACAGACAGACAGACAGACAGACAGACAGACAGACAGACACGCACACTGAGACTGGGAGGAGAAATAGGCAATCATTTAGGTAAACAAACAGATGTAGAAATACCTAGAGAGGAGAGGAGGAAGAAGAGGAGAAGAGGGAGGAGAGGAGGAAGAACGGAGGAATGGAGGAGGGAAGTGGGGGTTGGAGGAGAAAAAGAAGAAGGAAGAATGAGGAAGAAATAAATGAGGTAATGAGGAGGAAATATCACATTCTTCATAATACAATTTGAAACATAAACAGAGACTCTTGAGGAGACCATTTAAGACGGACCCACAGACCGAGTCACTAGAATAATAGGGATTTGCCTTAATCATTTTATTTTAATGTTAGTTGAGAGAGAGGTTGTAGAGGACATTATGCTCTCTCTCTCTCTCTCTCTCTCTCTCTCTCTCACTTATTTTCATTCCTGTAATTTTTTTTTTTAGTGCACCCGAAGGTCTGTTTTTGGAGGTAGTGTTGGGTGGTTACAGAAGGTGGAGGGTGTAGGTGGAAGGGGGTGTGGGTGTGTGTGGAATGGTGTTTACATATAGTTCAGGTGGATGTGGAGGTAAAAGACAGGTGGATGATGAAGATGTTATGTGGAAGAGTCTGTAGTGAGTTAGGTTGCAAGTGGATGATAATGGTAGGTGGGTGGTGGTATATGTAGGTGGATAATGAGAAAGAGGATATTTTACAGGTGGATGGTAAAAAAGTACAGGTGGTGGATTAAGTGTTAAGTGGATAATAATAAAACAGAATGAAAGAGGAAGAAAATTGGAGAAAATAAATAAAACAAGAGAGATTAATATTACTAAGATCATCTCACAGGAGGACAATTGTGTATACGTCTTTTATTTACCGATACTTCAAAAGCCTGAGAGGGGTCTTTGATAGCAAAATTACTCTTATAATAATACGACTTTAGACTCATTTTCTTAATTTTTTTTTGTTTACCTCCTTCCTCGGGTAAATGAAGACAAATTGAGATCTGTTTTGAGTTATATCCTGTTTTGTAATGAGGTCGTTGCTTCCTCATGGACAATATAATATTCTATTGGTCGTTTGTGATTCTCTCCTCCTTGAAGTCTTGGGTTGCTGCTCTTCCGTGTGTTCGTTGTTTATCTCTACAAGTGAACTCGTCTGTGTGATGTCGTCGGGAGTCTCGGGAATTATCGTTTCATTTGGGATGTTTATTTTCCTGTTATATTTCAGTGGTTTAGATCTTATGCCGAGGAAATTTCAGGCCACATAGGTATCTTAGTACAGTACTGGTCGCTCCTGTATGACCCACAAGAACACAACGTTGGCGGTCAGTACAGTCATCTTGTTCTCTACGCTACAATTACACCAAAATTTTTCCTGAATATATTAAAAAAATCTACTCCTACATTCGTCGTTAATATCAACAAAACAGCCACCTTGTGTAAATGTCAGCCACGCCGTTTATACGAAAAATAGCGACTTGTAGGCCAGGATTAGTAACTTTTTAAAGGGCTTCCAACAACTTTTGATATTATGACTTTTGTCAGCCCCGTCTGTAAACCACTCGAAGCAAAAACTTCAAGAGGACATTTAGTAACTTTTAAGGATTTTAGCTAACTTCTCATAACCCTTGAAAACTTTCCCTCAAGTTTGGCGTTTGGATGGAAGAAATTATTTGTGTCCGAGTCGAGCAGGAAGTTTTTTTTTTTTTTTTTCCTAATGAATTTTTGTGTATTAATTTCCGGAGGGAGGCGAGTGTTTACCTAAAGTGACGGGAGGAAATCAGTGTTTACATAGAGTGACGGGGTGTTTATATAGAGTGACGGGGTGTTTACGTAGAGTGACGGGGTGTTTACATAGTGACGGAGTGTTTACGTAGAGTGACGGGGTGTTTACATAGTGACGGAGTGTTTACGTAGAGTGACGGGGTGTTTACATAGTGACGGAGTGTTTACGTACAGTGACGAAGGGAGATGTCATTGCGTGGCCAGACTCCATCCCAGACAGTGTATCAACCGAGTCTCCCACTACTAGAAAACGAATATTTCCTCTCTGTTGCCTCTTTGGTCTGTGTTCATGTCTGCGTAACCTCTTGCGACCTCTTGCGACCTCTTGTGACCTCTTGTTTATCATTAATTTCGTCTTAAGGGGTTGATAAAGTCTGCGTATATTTGGTACTTTTGTTCGGCTTTACAGAGAGAGTCGTTTATGTTTGTTTTATTTTCGTCTTTTAATGCCTCCGAGCACACGCAATTTTTAGTCACCAACAGTTTAATTGTGTAAGTGAGAACCATTGAGCCAAATGGGATCGCGCATGCATACAATTCAATAGTTGGGCGACTGAAAAGTTTGTGACATGCTGCAACTTGTGCGCAATGGAATAGTTGGCCAACTCGCTTGTGCATACGGGTCTCAACGTGTGCGAGCGCAGTAGCAGCGAACTGTCGGCTGACTCTCACCTCAGACCGAAGGCGAAGTCTTATTTTCTTACCTTAAAGTGACAGAAAACCTTTCCTCCGAGGGGATGCTATTCCTCCATTTGCTATTTTGATAAGTTATTGAAGGCCCAACAAAGAACAAGAGTTCGTTAAAACTGAAAACTGTTGACGCTCATTCTATAGTAATTAAAAAAATTATTTGGGTAGGCCCGTAAATCTTCATACAATAGGTAAAATTGTCCTCTAATCAGTCGTTGGCTTATAATTAGATGAACCCACTACTGTTTTTTTTTTTTACGTTTCTTTTTCCTTTGGCGAATTACCAACGCACAAACACAAGCCGTTTCGACGAAGTCTTTAATACAACTGAACTAAATTGACCAACTGTGAATTGCAAGTGCGCGGGAATTCAAGTCGGCCAACACTTTTGTCGGTTGGTGCGTGCGAAAAAACCGAATAGGCCGATAAACAATCGACCAACTAAAAATTACATGTGCGCGGGAAGCCTACGACTTTTGTTTTCATCTCCGTGACTAATGTGTTGTTCTCTCGGACAGAAAGAGTTGTTTGCGTCCAAGGACGGGGGAGGGGCGGAGGGACGAGAGAGGAAGATGTCTAACTCTAGTGGAGGCAGCATGAAGACCAAGTGGATGAAGGCGTTCAAGTCCCTCAAGACCTCGGATCCTGCTAGTAGCAAGTAAGTCTTTACCCCCACTCTTGTTCGGGAGGCTGCTCGTCACGCCTCACCATTTAACACTGTTTGCTGGTTTTAATGTGTGTGTGTGTGTGAGACCTCTCGTGTTTGTGTGTGTGTTTGTGTGACCTCTTGTGTGTGTGTGTAGTTTTTGTGACTAATAAAAACTTTTTTGTGGTCTTCAGATAGGTTTTTGGGGCTTTGAGGACTTTTTGTGGAATGAGGAGGGACTGTTTTGTGGTCTTTAGTTGACTTTGTGTGTGTGTGTGTAAGTCTTTTTGTCTAAACTTAGTGGGATTTTCTGACACTATTTTTTTAATTTGATCTTACGACCTCATGACACTGTCGTTTAGTGTGACTCATGACAGTATCGCTTAGTGTGACCTTATAACACCGTCGCTTAGCGTGACCTCATGATATTGTCGCTTAGTGTGGCCTCATGACGCTTAATATATGTGTGTGTGTGTGACTTACAGACACTTACTGGGTCGCTGTGTTGTGTGACTTCGTCTAACTCTGAGGAGGATGTGTTGTGGCCCTCGGGTTACCTTGGGCTTGTAAGAGTCGTAGATGAACCAGGCAGAGGTGTTTAAGCTCCGGGTGACTGGGAGCTTCACTGTAGTGTTAAGACATGAAGTATAAACACAAGTATCTCAGTACTTTTGTTTATAATTCATTAAGTTTTCTCTTAATTGGTAAAAAAAAATATTATTTGTCGAGAGATGTTACTGTTTCTTCCTTTCAAATGTTTATACAAATACTTCAAGTTCACTAAACATTTTAGTGAACTTATTGATAGTAAACTAAACACTCTCGGTAATATAGGTGGAGCTTAAAGGCCCCTGACTAACCTATGAGGACTGTAGTGGTAGTAAACAAGAGTGACGTCATTCTCCTTGTCTGTGTGACTGCCAGACCACTGTTATTGGTCTCGTGTCAAGTCAGGTCATAGTGATGATCTCCCTACGACGGCGCCTCAAGAGTGACATTCACTCCTTAAATAATTGTAGTGTGACCTTTGAGGGAAGAGCACCAAAGGCCACTGATTACATTAATCATAGTAAGGTAGATTATTATTAATAGTATTATTATTATTACTATTATTATTATTATTATTATTATTATTATTATTATTATTATTATTGCTATTATCCACTGCTAACGAGACCATTCCCTCTAGTGTTGTGTTATTATAGCAACCAGGAGAGTAAGTGTGTGGGTATAATGACTTTATTGTGATACTGAGGTTATTGTTAAAGGGGAAATTTTCATCACACTATATGTCTTGTTACTGTGTGTCTGTCTGTCTGTGTGTTGTACTGTATATATACTGTATTTACCTGTCGTAGTAGCTCCTATTGTACTACTTGTCCTTGAAGTCCAAGTCATACTCACGCTTAACCAGTACACAGACAGCCAATGGGTAAAGGTATTAGTGTGTGTGTGTGTGTGTGTGTGTGTGTGTGTGTGTGTGTGTGTGTGTGTGTGTCAATAAGGTGTTTACATTTACTTGTCTTCACAGTTTATGCTAATTATGTGTTTTATATATTTACTGTTACTGTATTAAATAATTCACGCAGCATAGAATAATTTACATGTTATTCCCTAATAAAAGATGAGCTCGGTGTTATACTGTGTTAACCAGTATGTGTTGAACACTTGTTATGTGTTCACCAGTATTTTGATGAACACAGAGATGAAGATTTTTGGTGTAGGTCACTGTGATGGTGAACACGATCTTTATTGAACAGTTCAGTTAACTTTATCCACACATTTCCTCCCTACCCTCACACCTTCCTACCCACACCTCCCTATCCACACACCTGCCCTACCCACACACCTGCCCTTCCCACACATCTCCTCCCTACCCTCACACCTCCCTACCCACACCTCCCTACCCACACACCTCCCTACCACACTCCCTACCACACACCTCCCCTACACACCCCCCTACCACACCCCCCTACCACCTCCCCTACCCCCCACACCTCCCCTACTACACACACCTCCCCACACACCCCCACACACACCTCCCCTACCACACACCTCCCCACCCACACCTCCCCTACCACACACCCCTACCACACACCTCTCTATCCACACCCCTCTGCCCACACACCACCTCCCCTACCCACACACACACCTCCCCTACCACACACCTCCCCTACCACACACCTCCCCTACCACACACCTCCCCTACCACACACCTCCCCTACCACACACCTCCCCTACCACACACCTCCCTATCCACACACCCCTCTACCCACACACCCCTCTACCCACACACCCCTCTACCCACACACTCCATACTCTCCCACACACACACACACACTTAGACTGTCTTCATCATAACAGGGACTTTAACTAAGACTTGTACTGTACTGTGTGTGTTAAACCAAGACCATCATTGATACTTAAATTAGGAATATTATATTGTATGTTTACTTACATTCTAATCCCCAATAGGTGATTTAGGGGAAACTAATGAAACATGTGATTTTATCTTATTTTTACAATCTTGTGATTATTTGGAGAGCGGATTGTAAATATATGAGTCGTTTATCCGGTATTGTTTATGACCCTCAAGGTGTACTGTACTGTGGTATTGTAGGTGTTTTTCGATCTAAGATGGATAGTGTCTGTCTGTTTGTGTGTATGTGTGTGTTTGTGCTGGTGTAAGGCTGTCGGTGTACACTTCTCTCTTGACGGATGGTGTTCACTTGTTATTTTTACTGAGTAATTTTATGTATATAAATATATGCTGTTTTCATTATTCAATTTGCATGATGTGCTGGGGGACGGTACTCACATATACATATGAATATGTATACTCGAGTGCACACATACATACATACATACATACATACATATGTATACTCAAATACACACACACACTCGCACATACATGTATACTCAAGTGCGCGCGCGCACACACACATAGGTATGCTCAAGTGCACATACACCTACACACATAAATGTTCAAATGCACGTACACACATGTGTATACTCAAGTACACACACAGACACACATACGTATAGTCACCTGCGCACTTACACACACGCACATATTTATTCAAGTACACACACACATGTATATTCATGTGCGTACGCACACACACACACACACACACACACACACACACACACCATCCATCTGCCCTTCTCTCCTCCATACACATACGCACATAAAATAATAATCATGCAGGTTAATTATCATTGCCTTCATACCGACAAGATATATGATTCCAGTATATTAATACACACAAAATAATAAACATGTTAGTATTTCTATTTAACAAATGAGCATAGCTATACACACAAACACAGCCATAAACAATAAAGGTGTGTGTGTGTGTGTGTATGTGTGTGTGTGTGTGTGTGTGTGTGTGTGTGTGTGTGTGTGTGTGTGTGTGTGTGTGTGTGTGTGTGTGTGTGTCATGCACCCCCCAGCACTGCCACACCTTCCTCTTATGCTCACAAGCAACAGATCTTCTTACAGTCAGTCTTGCCTCTCGGTACGTGTCGCCTTCCTTGGCTCAAGTTCACCCGGTGTCATGTCATATTTAACAGTGTCTTATATTTTTCTTTTTTATCTCTCTCTCTCTCTCTCTTTCTCTCTTATTATCTTCTTACATCCAGCGCATTCCTACGGTACAGTGAACTCTCTCGCGTGTTATGTATTTAGTGTTAGTTTCTTGTTCTCTTATACTGTAACCCCCCAAAACCGCCCCCTTTTTCTCTCCTTGACTCGCGGCCGGGCGCCACCCCTGCCCCCCAGGTGTGCTCTGTTGTCATTCTAAAGTGTGTGACTCTTTACCCAGGGCTCCAGCACAGGTGACTTTCAGGTAATGCCAGCTTGTGTACCTCTGGTGTCCGCCCCTCACCCTCCACCACCCCCACCCCACCCCACATCACCCTATGCGTCTCTCACTCACTCACTGCTCACCCTTACTCACATCCCCACAGCCTCTCCCTCCCTCCCTCCCTCCAACACCCTGACCATCATTCACCTCACTCACCTCATTCTCTCACCATCACTCTGCTCCTTCCCTCCAACGTCCTCACTACACTCACCTCCCTTCCTCCCTCTTTCCTTCCTCCCTTCCCCTCTTCCCCCCCATTAACACTGACCTCCCCTCGCTTCCCTCATCTCCCCCACTTCCTTCCCTCACCATCACTCACCATCACTCCCTCCCTCACCGTTGTATATCACCGTCTCAGACCATCACTCAAACACCCCCAGGAACCAGGTATTCTCAGTCGCTGCTTGAGATGTCGGGCAACAACCTCCTTAGGGCCAGTCTGGTGTGTCGCAGCCTCCGTCCGCCCGCCCGTCCGCCCGCCCGTCCGCCCGTCTGTCATACCTAATCTCATGCACCTCCTGTCAATTCAACTTCCCTGCGTTTCAGTGTTGTTGAGTTGACTTTTCTTGCTAAAAAAAAACCGCCTCGTTTCCTGAGCGACATAAAGAGTTCTGATAATTAACTCTCTCAAAAAAAAACATTGTTTACTAAGCGTCGGGGAAATGCCTTTATTTCCTAGTCTCCATAAGAACTCCTACGTATAAGATGATATGTAACCAATTCACTTTATTTCCCAAGCGTCGTGTGGAGTTGTCAATAACCCATAAAAATTCTGATGCTGTTTACTAAGCGCCTGAGGGAGTTTGGCTATTAGTGATATAAACAGAACTCGTTTTATTGTTTGCTAAGATGTCGCTGGGAATTTGCTTGGGTTGCCGGAGATACACACACGAGGGTTCGCCGCCTTCAAGCAGTGACGGAAGATCTTGGTTCTCTTGTGACTTAAACACCCGTATCGTCTTTAGGGACTTCTACACCTGTGCTGTAATGCCAATATGATGGTGCCACAGTGCCTACCTGTCAGTATAATGGTGCCATAAGGTCCTCCCCTGTCAGTATAATGATGCCATAAATCCTCCTGTAAGTATAATGGTACCATAGATCCTCCTCTGTCAGTATAATGGTACCATGACCCTGTCGTGTTGCCCTGCCATCAAGGGTTGACTTTTACAATCAAGTTTACATCGTGAAGTTGTGCTTGAGGAAAGGAATGGAGTGAGAGGGGAGGGAGAGGAGGAAGTTAGGTATTGAGAGGGAAGGAGAGGAGGAAGTTAGTATTGAGAGGGGAGGGAGAGGAGGAGGTTAGATAATGAGAGGGAAGGAGAGGAGGAAGTACAGTACTGAGAGGGAAGAGAGAGAGAGGAGTAGTGAGAGGGGAGGAGAGGAGGATTAGTATTGAGAGGGAAGGAGAGGAAGTACAGTACTGAGAGGAGGGAGGAAGAGTGAGTAGTGAGGAGAATTAGGTAGTGAGTAGGAGAGAGAGGAGGAAGATAGGTGTGAGTGAGAGGGAGGGAGAGGAGGAAGTTAGATAATGAGAGGGAAGGAGAGGAGGAAGTTAGTATTGAGAAGGGAGGGAGAGGAGGAAGTTAGGTAGTGAGAGGGAAAAGAGAGGAGGAAATTAGGGTAGTGAGTGGGAAAAGAGAAGAGGAAATTAGGTAGTGAGTGGGAAGAGAGAGGAGGAAGTTAGGAAATGAGAGGGAAAAGAGAGGAGGAAGTTAGATAGTGAAAGGGAAAAGAGAGGAGGAAATTAGGTAGTGAGTGGGAAAGGAAAGGAGGAAGTTAGGTAGTGAGAGGAAAAAGAGAGGAGGATGTTAGGTAGTGAGAGGGAAAAGAGAGGAGGAAATTAGGTAGTGAGTGGGAAAGGAAAGGAGGAAGTTAGGAAATGAGAGGGAAAAGAGAGGAGGATGTTAGGTAGTGAGAGGGAAGAGAAAGGAGGAAGTTCAGGACAAGAGTGAACAGTTAAACACGGTGGAGATTTTCCTTATTGACGACGATACATTAATGGAACCTTTAGTATTATGACTGTGTGTTATGTACGTGTTGTGGCTCTTGGTTATTCTTGTGTCCTTAATGTAGATATGTAGACAAATCTTACTCTCTCTGGCTCTTACTAGATATGTTTTTACTCTCTGTGGCTCTTACTAGATATGCTCTCACTCTTTGTGGCTCTTACTAGATATGCTCTCATTCTCTGTGGCTCTTACTTGATATGTTCTTACTATCTGTGGCTCTTACTGGACATGCTCTTAATCTCTGTGGTTCTTACTGGACATGCTCTTACTCTCTGTGGCTCTTACTATAAATGTTCTTACTCTCTTTGGCTCTTACTGGACATGCTCTTAATCTCTTTGGCTCTTACTGGACATACTCTTAATCTCTGTGGCTCTTACAGGACATACTCTTAATCTCTGTGGCTCTTGCTATAAATGTTCTTAATCTCTGTGGCTCTTACTAGACATACTCTCACCCTATCTGTCCCTCACTAAACATACTCACACTGTGTGGCTCTCACTAAACCACTCACTGTGTGGCCCTCACTAGACCACTCACACTGTGTGGCTCTCACTAGACCACTCACACTGTGTGGCCCTCACTAGACCACTCACACTGTGTGGCTCTCACTAGACCACTCACACTGTGTGGCTCTCACTAGACCACTCACACTGTGTGGCTCTCGCTAGACCACTCACACTGTGTGGCTCTCGCTAGACCACTCACACTGTGTGGCTCTCACTAGACCACTCACACTGTGTGGCTCTCACTAGACCACTCACACTGTGTGGCTCTCGCTAGACCAATCATACTGTGTGGCTCTCACTAGACCACACACACTGTGTGGCTCTCACTAGACCACTCACACTGTGTGGCTCTCACTAGACCACTCACACTGTGTGGCTCTCACTAGACCACTCACACTGTGTGGCTCTCACTAGACCACTCACACTCTGTGGCTCTCACTAGACCACTCACACTCTGTGGCTCTCACTAGACCACTCACACTGTGTGGCTCTCCTAGACCACTCACACTGTGTGGCTCTCACTAGACCACTCACACTGTGTGGCTCTCAGACTAGACTAGACCACTCACACACTCTCACTAGACCATTCTGTGTGGCTCTCACTAGACCACTCACACTGTGTGGCTCTCACTAGACCACTCACACTGTGTGGCTCTCACTAGACCACTCACACTGTGTGGCTCTCACTAGACCACTCACACTGTGTGGCTCTCACTAGACCACTCACACTGTGTGGCTCTCACTAGACCACTCACACTGTGTGGCTCTCACTAGACCACACACACTCTGTGGCTCTCCGTACACTACTCTCACACTCTGGTTCTCCCTCATATACCAAGTGGCTATTATTCCCTCTCTGTAGTCTGCCTTCCATCACTTGGTTCGTGGTTGTGTGTGTTCCTGCTCCTCGTTTTCTTTGCACTGGGTCGTCTTCCCGTTTTCCTTTACACTTGGTTAACTATTATAATTTTTTTTACAGAGCGAAGATGACCAATTTTTTTTTATCAATCGTATTTTTTCTGATATTTTATGATGTATTGAAAGCCATTTGATGCCGTTTTTGTTTTTGTTTTTTTTGTATCGTTTGACTAAATCAGTAGCCTTGTAACCTGAGTTTTGTATTATGTAATTGTTTTTGTATCTGAGTGATATGGCCAAGATACAGTAACTAACGAAAGATATAAAGTTTGTAATGTTGAATTATTATCAATTAATAATGTTTATGTTTACAATGATTATATAATTTAGCTATTAATATATATTAGATTTTATATATGACAACAGTGTTTTATGTTTGTGTGGCTCACGTGTCTATATATGACTTTGTGAGTTGATCAATTCCTTCAGTATGTATGTATGTCACCTCTACTGTGTTCTGGCCATATCGTGTGTCAGCGTGAGCCGTGTGTGTGTTGTGTTCAGCTTAACATAACGTGGTACTCAGTAGGCTGGCTTGTTTAAACATGCTTTTATCATATCTCATTTTCAGCAGTAAACTTACCGCCATGCTGTAGTGTGTAGAGGATACGCATGTTTCTCTCATATTGCTAAATGATCAGTAATTTATCTTATTGTTTGTAATTCAGGGACATAAATTTTTTTTCTCTCTACTTATCTGACCGTAAGTATTATGTTTGCATCTTTTGTCTTCCAGCATTTTGATCTTCATGATGTGATATTCATGTTTTCATAACTAACATTTCAGTGAATGAATATATATTGCATTTTGCCAAGACATTGCTGCTAGACTTTTAATCCAAGTGACATTATTAGTTTGGTGAGCAGGTATGAGAGGTGGAGGCACCTGGCACTCGTGCTGTGGGACTAATGTTGAGTGCCAGAGTGCCTGACCACGCCTGACCTGTGGCCCTCAGTCACTGGCCCGCTACAGGACAATGCTCCAGTTACATTTTTAAACCCATTTTGTTATTATTATTTAATGCTTTAGCTTATCACAAGATCACTATGCAAATGGTGTGCTTCATTGAATGGAATATTGCATTAGTAAAAACACTGTTGGTATTAAGTTTAAAGAATAACATGTTGGTAGAGTTGAGAGAGTATTGAATATGTGGTGGGTCACGTTAAGGAGTGTGATTACCAAACTGGTCAGCTACATGTCCTAGACCGGGTGGTGTGTGAGGGGGGTGACTTGTAGGCCCTGTGGTACCTCACACGGCGGTACTGGCAGTGGTACTCGCCTGCCATCAAGTGAGGTACCGGGGGCCACGGGACACACCACATTTACCCATGGCCGCCGCCCCACCTCCCTCATTCCCTCACTCGGGTGGCGGGCGTGGGTAAAGCTGTTGTGGCCCTCCCAAGTCTCACCTCGTCTCTCTTCGTCTCTCTCTCCCCCCCGCCACACTAACGCATGGCTCAAGCAGTCTGCCCCCAACCTCGCCAGCGAAGCGGTACACTTTCTCTAGTACCGTCCTCAGCGTCATGGCTCACAGGTAAACAGTCAGCGCGCCACCTTGTACTCACATGGAGACCTCCCTTAAACACACAACCCCCCCTCTCTCCCCATTTTAGACCTTGCAATGTAGTACTGGAGGATTGGAAAGCTTCTCCAGAGAGATACCCTTGACCTTGTAGGATTGAAAGATTGGAAAGCTTGTATATTGTATGATTGGAGGATTGGGAAAGATCCCTCCAGAGTAACCCTTGACCTTGTACATGTAGGATTTTGAAGATTGATAATCCCTTTCAGAGACATCCTTGTTCTTGCAAATGTAGGATTGGAAGATTGGAAAGCTTGTAATGTAGGAATTGAACAATGGAAAACTCTTACCACATCCCTACCCCGACCCCCCTCTCCCATGAACCCCCCTCCTGGAGTTAGTGTGAGTAAGTTTAGATTACAGTATTTGACCCCCACCCCTCCAGGTTCACTCTCACCTGGTAATGCCATAGACGGAGACCTGAAGACTGCCTGTATAGTAACCTCCACCTTATTTGAGTTGATCTTCCAGGGAAAATCTAGGACTTGAGTGTTCCCTCCACCTTGTACAGAGTGACAAGTCTATTTCAGGAAGCTCTCTGTGTGTACATATAAAACATAGAGATAAAACTAATAACTTTATCCAGGAGTAAGAATAAAATAAACCCCTACCTTATTTAATAGACTTGGAGGGTTTCCATCAGTGAAACCTTCCGGATTGTGTAGTAGGATTCCTCTCCCCTCCCCCCAACCAGCTACTTTAAACCATCCACGTGTCACTGTCTTCCCCCCCCCCCCTCCTTTCCCCAAACACCTCCTCCTCCCATGCTAAACAGAGTTTGTACAGGCACAGGCCGTCATGACACTTTCCCTTGTGATATTTAGGCAGTGACAGTAGGGTAGTATCTCGCTGTGGCGGTGCAGTCCCAGGGGCTCTTGTATTAAAAAAAAAGTACCTCCTACTTTCTCACGTCTACTTGCTGTTATAATGTACTTTCCCTACTACCCGTAATTTGCTGTAATGTTCACTCACACCCTCACCTGTAAATGCTGTAATAATGTACTTTCTACCACACCTGTACAATAATGTGCTGAAATATGTACATTCTCTCACGTGTAATTAGTTGTAATCTGTTCAATATCTCTCACATACCTGTAATTACTGTACCTGTACTAATTTCTTACCTGTACCCGTATCACTCTCATATCGGTATATTACAATTATTTGTATTCTCTGCCAGCTGTAGCTCCTGTATTATGTAGTGTAACAGAGTACTTATTTACTCTACCGTGGTTACTCCTTAGCAACCCTCAACTTCTTTCTATTTCACTCTCTCATCTCTCAGGGAATGTAGAGTGTATGTATCAGGACACACATACACACACTCTCTAGTTGCTCATGCACTCTAGTCGTTCATACACTGATTGTTCACACACTCTAGTTTTCCATACACTCTAGTTGTTCGTTCTCTCTTGTTCATACACTCTTGTTGTTCATACACTCTAGTTGTTCATACACTCTTGTTGTTCATACACTCTAGTTGTTCATACACTCTTGTTATACAGTACATACACTCTAGCCGTCAATGCATTCCGCCCTATGTATTTTGAGTGCCTTTCTTAATTCTCCTCAGCACTCACTCTATCATCAAGGAAATGTTCTAGGTATCAAATGCTCGTGTTATAAAGGGAATTTTCTAGGTATCAAACTCGTGGTATTAAGGACGTGTTCTATGTATCCAGTGTTCGTGGTATCAAGGAAATGTTCTAAGTGACAAATGCTCGTAGTATCAAGGATAGACGTGTTCTAGATATTTAGGTACTGTTCTAGGTATTAAAGGCTCTAGAACCAAAATATTATAACAGGCAACACCCATGAACCAAACCAACATAGCAGGCAACACTCATGAACCAAACCCACATAGCAAGCAACATTTATGAACCAAACCCACATAGCAAGCAACACTCATGAACCAATCCAACATAGCAGGCAACACTCATGAACCAAACCCACATAGCAGGCAACACTCATGAACCAAACTAACATAGCAGGCAACACTCATGAACCAAACCCAACCAAACCCACAAAGCAAACAACATTCATGAACCAAACCCACATAGCAGGCAACATTTATGAACCAAACCCACAAAGCAAACAACATTCATGAACCAAACCCACATAGCAGGCAACATTTATGAACCTAACCCACATAGCAAGCAACATACACACACACACACACTCATGCCATCTCGAGTCTGCCTAATATAACCTCGTCCTCATGAATGATTCTGGTTTTCGTCATTCAACTTTGATGAGATATCGTGAGGTGGGATGACCTTTCTGCAGTGACCACAAGACTGAAAATGTTAAGTGTTACGTCATAGATCGAGGTTCAGGTTGACACATGATATAGTGTTTGAGGGGCGGGGAGGGAGGTCCTATTTGGTACTATGGATGTATTAAAGAATATTGTGGTGAGTGTTAAAGTGGTGAATGAGAATGTGTAAAGAATTTGTATTCTCATTTTTTCACGAATTGGGTTGGTTAGTGGTGTGTGTGTGTGTGAGTGTGAGTGAGTGCTTCTCCTGCCTGTGTATGAGTCAATAGCTTTTCAAGGGCCTCAACACCCTCACTTCACAATCACCAAGTAGCCACTCAAAGTATCATAATAGTCATACGTATATAATGGAGTGAACGGAAGGTTTTGGTCTAGTTATAATTTAGGCTATCACAGTAACTTCCTTTTTCATTCTCTGTGAGTTTTCCGAGCAGTTGAACCCCTGGGGATGGTAGTGGTGAATATATTAATAATAAGTGTTCAAGCCGCCGCCTCCTGCCTTCTCGCTAGCTGTCATCACCGCTGCTAGAATTTCGAAACACACCTTGACTCCTGGGCCGCTCCCATTGGTGATGAAGGAGAGTCATTATTCAAGTTGCAAGGTTCATTTCCCAGGGCGGGACAGAGGGATGGCGTTACCTTGGTGCTGCCGGCCTGCCACGCCCCCCTACCCTCCCGCCCGCCCGCCCCACGTCGCCCTCACCTGCACCTACCTGTGTTTGGTGTCGCCTCTAGTTTTTTGTTAATTCAGATTCAGTGGACATACATACATGCATACATTTGCACTTGTGTATAAAAAATATTTTACGTATGGGTAGATATATGTACTAAATGGTATAATAATATAATTACTTGTATATTTAGAGCCACACGATCCCCTAGACAGGCTGCGTGTTGTTGGGTCACCATTACCTCTCGTGTGTCTTGTCAGCTCCCAGGTTCGTGACTTCGGAAATTGTGCATATGAATCGTTTTCCTGAAATTACAAACAGAGGCCATTCTGGGTAACGGATATGAGCCATTCATCAGGCGGCCCGAGGGTGAAGGCTGATACAAACGAGTTGACCAAGAAAACCGATTGTCGGAGATTGGCCACCGAGCTGATTTTTCAATAAGGCGAAGTGATTTTACTGAACCAAAAGAGTCAGTATTTTACTTGTTAATTTATCGTGTGATCCAAGTTTCCGTAACTCTCGCTCCGTCGAAAATTATTTGTTATATGACCGGAATAAATGATGAAGTCCGGCAAATATTTGAGCTTTGTGAAGAAGTCGTCGAGGTGCAGGTGCAGGTGATGTGTCGACTTGTAAGAGGAGGAACTCCATTGTGTGTTGTTCATTTGGCCTCATTGACTATGTACCAGGTGACAGCTCTCACCTGTGTACCCGCTGACAGCTCCAACTGTGTCCCCGCTGACAGCCTCCACTTGTGCTACTAACAACTTTTTACCATCAGAATACAAACTCTACGTGTCTCTACCCTGTAGATCACAGTGTGAAAGTTTACTTCTCTGAAGGATATCAGCGCATATACACCAAGTGAATCGATCTCGTCGAGTAACTGAACCTAACGCAACCACTCGACTCAACTGGGAATATTACCAAACAATCTCTGCGTCTCTTTAAGAGCGGGAAGCAGCGTCGCCACTCTGCACGGCTCCCTCAGGGCGCAGTATTTCCTCCACAAATGGGAACAAGGTGGGAACCCTTAAGGGGTGAAAAGGGGGTCATTTTCTGTGGGAGGGGAAACCTTTACATCCATTGAGGCGCTCGTCCCATAAATCTTCCCTCTCACGCCCACACCTCAATATTTCTCGCCTACTGGTCGTTCACTTGTCCTTCGCTCGTATCATAAGTCTTCTTTTTCCCTTTTCTTCTGACTGGTTGTGATAATTGTGAATGGTGGAGCCTTAAGGGCGCCATTATTGGTCGTTGTGGGTGTGAGGTGGCCCAGATTGGCGTAAGTATTTTAGGTTCTGGAGTGCGGAATTTTTTCGTGATCAAAAGGTCCATCCATCTTGTACAGGGCGTGTGTGTTGGTGTTAAGAGACGACTTGGGTTGTGGAAAGTGGAGGAGTTTTTCTTTTTTCTTACACTTTATTGCTCCATTAGCTGTCCTCGTAGACACTAACAACTGAGTGATGAACAAATCTCCAGAGTGCGATTTTTTTTCCTTTAAGTATAAAACATTTCACAAAGTTACATTATTTCCCATACGAAACTGTCCTAAGGTGCGTTAAAGCGAGGTTTCACTGCAGCCTTATTTATATTCTTACCTGTGTATCGTACATCTGAAGTCTTCTGCAGTTCTAGGTTCTCTTCTCTGCCAGCACTGATCGTACCTCCTGCTGGCCACACCTGTTTCTTCCCATGCTGGCCACAGGTCACGCCTCCTCCTGTCACCTGTGACTGTTCCTCCTGCCTTCTGCCCCCTGTGGCCACACCTTCAAGCGCTAGCTATGATGGAGTCTTCTGCTGGCCATGGCCGTACTTAATCTTGCTGGCCACGCAAAATCCCACCAGACTGGCTATATGCGTAACCTGCTCCAAAAGGTATATTTACGATTTATATAAGAGAATATGATACAGCAGACGAAGGATTTTGACAATCCTGCCGAGACAGCAAGAGTCGCAGTGTTCATTTTGAAAATCATCGGACCCTTCGTAAAGATACC